CACACACACTCACGGACAGACAGAACACACACACACACACGAACGAACACACACACGAACACACACACGGAAAATTAATTACCGCTAAAACTACGACTAATTATCCCTCGGGTGAGTATATTGACCCCAGAGGAGTTATGTGATTCACAACCACTAATCCCGTGTGTGTGTGTGTGTGTGTGTGTGTTACAAACTTGATGAAGATAATGAACGTTCAGAAGGCAGTTCCGTTAGACAGATATTTGATAGATGTTACGGATGATGTGTACAGGTTAATTTCGTGTTATGGTCGCGTGGGGAACCTGTTACGCACAGTAATGGACATACTGAGGACATGTTAACTTGCCTACGGACACGTTGGGAGGACATGTTGTGTACGCTTCATGTATACGTCATTGGCAAATCACGGACACGGCACATAGCCTAATGCAAACACGTCATAAACACGTTATGTACACGGTAGAGAGGGAAGTGTTTACCTCAGCTGAGAGTGAGGTAAGAGGAGGTAAGGGTGTGAGGTAAGGGGGGGGAGGGGGGGGGTGGAAGTAGAGGGAGAATGAGGGAGAGTAGGGTGTGAGACAGAGGAAGAGTAAGGGAGACGTAAGAAGAGGATGAGAGGTAAAGGGGGGAAGAGGAAGAGTGGAGGAAGAGGTATGGAGAGGTGGAGGAAAGGGGGAAGGGGAGAGGGAGGGAAGGGGAAGGTTGAGGGTGGAGGGAAGGGGAAGGGGGAGAGTGGAGGGAAAGGGGAAGAGGGGAGAGGCAGTTGTAGGGAGGCACCGCAGCAGTCGACAGATGTCCGTTCAGTAGGGGAGGGGATGGGGAGGAGAAGCCCTGCCCTCCCCGCCCTCCCCTGCCCAGAGCAAGTGAGGCCAATTACTGGATGAACTACTGCCTGTCTCAAACCCCTGGTGGTGGCGTCGTCGTTGGTGGAGTTGGGTGGTGGTGGGAGGTTGGTGGTAGGTGTTGGTGGAGACGGTGGTGGAGGTTGGGTGAGTGGTGTTGGTGGTTGGTGGTGAGGTTGGTGGTGAGAGTGATGGTAGTGGAGGTTGGTGGTGTTGGTGGAGGTTGATGGTGAAGACTGGTGGTGGTTGGTGGTGGTAGTGGTGGTGGTGGTGGAGGTTGGTGGTGGAGGTTGATGGTGAAGACTGGTGGTGGTTGGTGGTGGTGTGGTGGTTGGTGGTGGAGGTTGATGGTAAGACTGGTGGTGGAGGTGGTGGTGGAGGTTGATAGAAGACTGGTGGTGGTTGGTGGTGGAGGTTGGTGGTGGAGGTTGATGCTGAAGACTGGTGGTGGTTGGTAGGAGGTTGATGGTGAAGACTGGTGGTGGTTGGTGGTGGAGGTTGGTGGTGGGGATTGATGGTAGTGGAGGTTAGTGGTAGTGGTGGTGGTTCTGGGGAGGCTGGTTGGTGATGGTGGTAGTCAAAGTTTTGGTTCTAGTTGGAGGAATGGTAGGTATAGTGATGTTGGTTGATAATGGTGGTTGTAGAGTTTTTCGTAGTTGGTGGGTGGTGTTGGTGGTGGATGTTGGTGGTAGGAGTGGTGGTTAGATGAGGGGTGGGGGTTGTTGAGGATGGTTGATGATTTGTTCAGATTTGCCGTGGGTAGTTTATTGTGCACCTCCTTAATATCCAGTATAAGGCCCAACAGGGAAACTGAGGAGTTCCTGTTTGACTTCTTTGACCTACACATTTACGGGCGTGGTTGGTGGTGGTAGGTGGTGGTGGTGGTGGTTGTAGGTGATCATTGTTAGTGGTGCTGGTAAGATGGTTATCATAGGGGGGGGTGACGTGGGGGTAGGGCACGAAATGTCTCGTCATCGTCATCGTCATCATCGTCATTAACGTGTTAAATATTATCATGGTTCTTTGTCCACGTCATCTCACTATACCAACTCCACCACCTTCATCATCATCATCACTATCGTTAATACCACATCATCGTCCCTATTATCATTATTATAACCATCTTCATTCTCACCATCACCACCCATATCACCACCATCGCCACCCATATCACCACTATCACCACCCCCACTCCACACTCCACCATTAATCTTCACCACCACTTCCACTCCACCACCCCACCACCCACACCATCAACCAAATTACAAAAACCAAACTCTAAAACGACACACTCACCATCAGAAGACATCATCCAAGCCAAAGTCGTTCAGGTAATTAAGAAATGCTGTACGCCGCCATCTTAGTGAGCCATTACACGTAAATATGGGGTCAAATTAGAGAGTGGGCGGGTGGTGAGGCTATTTTTTGTCCTTTAATCAGAGAAAGAAGACATGGCGCCATTAGAATTAAAAATGGCGTGGGATTTTGTGATGGGGTGGAAGGCCAGATTGGGAGGATGGGGATGGAAGGTGAAGGAAGGGGGATGGAATGGTGGCAGTGAAGGAAGGGGATGGAATGGTAGTGAAGGAAGGGATGAATGGTGGCAGTGAAGGGAGGGGGATATGTAGGTTGGTGGTAGTGGAAGAAGGATAAGGTAG